ACTTAGAAAATTTTTTCTACATAAAAATTAAAGTTATGTACAATAATGGCTATAAGTAAAAAGACATGCAAAACTAGGAGAAAATACATGCAAAATAGATGTTAGTATACACATATGTAAGTGTAGGGGGGAATTTTACTTTCAATCCCACAAATCAATAAGAAAAAGCCCCCCCGCCCCCAACAGAAAACTAGGCAAGAAATATAAACAGTTAATTCTCATACCAGGAAAATTACAAAGACCCAACGACCATAAGAAAAATTACTCAGCTAGATTTGTAATTACTAATTACAACATAGTTTTAATAGCAACATAGTTTGAAATCTTCCCACAGGGCATTCATTAATGCTGTTGATGTAACAGCTCCAACATAAACAGCTGATGTGAAATGACCTGACATGGTTCACTGTCGGGAAAATTCTTTAATATTGTTTTCAATTTTTTCCACGGTTTTTGATTCAGATTGCCTACTTCTTCTTAGGCCAACATTGATCATAAATATTTTCCCAGGAAAGCATTTGTATTTTCATTTATATTATTAACATTTTCTTATTTTAAGCTTCCATATATTCAGTTGTAAACCCTTTCTCATTCTCAATGATGTATATTTGAGATTTACTATTTTATTCTGTATTAACTTTGCCATAAGTTGCTGATCTTTCAGAGAACAAGCTCACAGATTTATTCATTATTTCCCACTGTTTCGCCATATTTCAATTCATTAGTACTTTCTTTTTACCTTCCTTAAATTTATTGGTTTGTTTTCTTACTCTTTTTCTAGCTTCTCAGACTGGACACTTACTTAGATTCTTACAACATGGAACAAAAATGACAACTAACTTATGTTGGCAAAATCTCTTTTCCGCACTGAAATAATTCATCTATTATGTAAGATAATCAAAAATTGATTACATCACATTAAATTTATCTGTATTCTCAAATCTAATGCATAATGAAATATTCAATGTTCTATTGAGTTACCTGTTTAAGTATCATTTGGAACAGACTGACTGGGACAAATCTATAACAACAATGAAAGGACATCAACTATTTTTTAGCCTAAAAATTAATTATATTTTAGATAGCTATGGATGGTACACTTAAAAAGTTGAAAGTTTACTATATATTTATAAAATTTGACAGTGTAAATCATTAAACAATGGTTCATCTGCTCTGTCCATGAAAATTTATTATCCTTGAAAAGAAAAACCAACATCATAATGCCAATCTGTTAAACCTGGTATAAAGATAATTTCCAATTTGTGGGAGATGTGAGATTTTAAGTAAGTTCTACAATATATATAAAAGACTAAATATATAGCTGTGCAATAAGTGTGTGATATCTACTGCTATTAAGAGTCAATTAAATACTGTTTTAAATTTCACATTATATGACTATTGTCTGTAAGCATGGTTTGAAATAATATCAAATGTCAGAATTAATGAATTTAGACAATTAAAAACGTTTTTGGCAGCATCTTCTTGAAAGCAACTCTTAGCAAAAGTGTGCAAACTCACTTTCTAACAAAATTCTACACCATGAATTCAGTAAATTTAGTAACTTATAACAAATTAACTTATAGTCTATTAGATTTAAATCTAAATATTTTATTTCTACATGTAAAAGTTATTTTAATTGAAATTCTGTGGAGGAAAAGTGGTGAACTAATGGGTACAAAACTATGCTATCTACTCTAAGTGAATCATTGTGCAATATATGCATGTGTCAAAACAATATATTCTACCCACAAATTTGTACAAATAAATGCGAAAATATTTTGAATTACAGAAAAAGAAACATATCGAGGTGTTTTGTTTTCTTTCACACCCTTGGTTTATTTCTGCCAAAATGAGCAGAAATACGATTGTTATGTAAAGTCAGGACATGCATCTAAGGTTCCTCTACTTACTATCTGTGTAACCTTAGACAAATTACCTCTGAGTCTCATCTTCCTTATTTTGTAGATTTCACTTGGAGACAAACCATGATATCATATGAAAAGAACTAAGAAGAATGTTTGGCACATGGAAGTAATTTAAGCAATTGCTACCAAAGAAAGAAAAAAATTAAAATGATTTCATCATTTTATCAACAGGGACTATAACCCTTTGTATACAACTATTAGATAGAACTTGATATCATTATTGACCTGAAAAAAACTGTCCTCAAATTTTTATACTGTTGTTCACTAAACTTCAGATAGAACCCACTTCAGATAGCACATCACTTGCACTACTATTTACTTAATATTTTCCCAAATTACCCATTTTTTTCCATCCCCACCTAAAACAATATTCAGATGTGCTAGTTATATTTTTTAAATACAAACATAAAAACAAAATGATAGGGATATATTTAAGGATTATCTCTGACTTCCTAGAATTATCCTGTCTGGTCAGTGGTGGAATGCCTCACTTTAGTAATTACTGTTTTAAAATTAAATAATGACATATGTCTTCAGATTATTATCCTAATAGACATTTCTGGTAATATAAAACTATTCTAATAATTTACAAAGCAAGTAGGTTTACAAACATCAAATATGTTAAAAAAAAAAAAATCTAGGTTACTCATTAAAAGTTAAGTAGAGGACCTAACAGAAGCTTAGGATTCCCAACAGCTTCTAAAATTCATTAACAAATATAGGTATTTAATGCTAATTAATATCAATAGGTTTTTTAGTCTTAGGCTTCAGTCATAAAACATCTTTAAGAGACATTAAGTCTAACTGATGATACAAAAAGTGACTAACACCTGCTGTTGCTACAAAGGAGTATTAAGAGGTTAAGTTTACTGGAAAGACTGGGCAAAGCAAATTCCTTCTCTTTTAGTTGATGAAATAGAACAAGGAATAACTGTGTACATCAGAGAAAACTGTGTAATGAAAATAGACTATACATCTAAAAAAAAGGAAAACTATCCATAAGAAAACATTTTTTCCCCATCTATGTAAATAAGTAAAGAAAAAAAATGTTTGCTCCTAGGAACAGTTGATACCAAACATATTTATGATATTATGAATTGTAAAAGATCTATCTTGGTGCATTTCATTAATATTTGATTAAAAAAATCATTGAATTCACCTATTTTGAAATATAATTATTGAGTATCAGAATCCTGTCGACCACATGGGTTAGATAATCCAATACTTCCAAATCACTGACAACACTTGCTGTGAATTTTAAGTCTCTCTCCATTTAAGCTGACAGCTAAAGTGTTGTTTAAAAACCTGCCATATTAGAAAAAACATTTTGGAACTATACATATGTGGCACATATCCGTTTCCAATAATTAAAGAACAAAAAAACTGATCTTGTTTATGACCACCACTTCCGGAAAGATTTTTCACTAGGGTTTGGGGACGTCTACCTATATGCTTTCAGTTTATATATGCATCCACAGACAAAGTTGTAAGATATAGTTAAATTACATGTAAAGTAGAATTGCCTAACTGAATACATTTCTCTTTTCAGCATAGAATAAGCCTGGATAAACACATTTCCTTTTTCTTTGAACCCTTGCCCAACAGGGGTCATCAAGAGGTACCTAACTTTTTAACCAGTGGTTGTGGATAAGAGAGAAAGAAACAAATTCAATGAAGAGGTGTTAGTTGTTCAGCTTACTTTCTGTCCCCCAAAACATATGCAGAATGAACACCAACAGAAAACTGGTATCCCATATTGCAAGGCAAGAGACCCCTTTGCCATCACTTTTAGATGCAAAAAATAAAAAAATAAAATATGAGTGTAAATTTATAAAACTGATAAAGATCTTTTTCATGAAATAAAAATACGATTAACCAATAATACAGCAACATAACATTATTCACATGAAGAGGACATGAGCCTTTGTAGGAGTAGCTTGATATTTTCATTCAAGTAAAGAAAAGATGCAAACTCAACTTACTTCAGGAAAGAAAATGACCAAAAAAAAAAAAATTCTTTCATTTTTTTTTAACTAAAAAGAATTAAAAGTTCTATTAATATAGACACCTTGACAAAAAAAAGTTCTCTTTCCTTCTGAGACTGAGAATAGTCAGGATGTTATATGCATAAAGGCAGTGGAGTCATCTTTCCCATTATTATAGATACAGTTCTACAGACAATGGAGCTAACCCAGAGGAAACCAGAGCCACAGATAGAGACAAATTCCTGAAACATAAACAAGCACCTGGATCTAACTGTGCCTGCATCTAGTCAATCACAGGAATTTCCAGTAATGGGAATTAATAAATTCTCTTTTGTGTTTAAGCAAGTTTAAACTAGATTTCTATTACTTACTGATAAAATGTTCTCATAAATATGAGATACAAAGAAAGAATTTGGATTTACTTTGCATTTATCTACTTATACCTCACAGTACCCACTACGACTTTCCATTCAAAGGTCAGAACCAATTTCTCCCCTAAGCATTTTTCTAACCTAGTACACATGGATATTCTAAACTATCCTGTTACCCAAATGCTGCTGGTAATCATCAATATCCTAAGAGGAAGAAGAGGGAGAGGGACAGGAAGAGGGAGAGGAAAAAAAGCAGCAGCAGTAGCACAATCTTATTAACTCCCCTGGTTTAGCACATATTCTATATATACTTTGACACAAGCAATTTTTAATGGATGACAAAATCTATCATTATAATAATCAAGGCATCAATTGTGTAAGCAGTGGTACATCCATAACAGGCTTATTTTATGAACCCATCTAAGTACTAATGGCATACACTTTTAAGAAAAACCTAAAAGTATTTAAACCAATTTTTATGTTGTACTATTTTAAGATTATCAGTCATAATGTATCAATTCCCATGAATACAAACGATGTGGCCCAAACCAAAGAAATCACAAATACCATTCACCCACTAGTCTCAGAGGCATGATTAGTGAAAAACCTGTTTCAGGAAAATAGCTATCATCATCTCCATTTCCAGCAGTTAAATCAACAGTCCCTCTCACTGCAGGTTTCAGAGATAAACCAAACCAGAGAAAGCAAGGCATACTCACAAATTATAAAGCATGTCAGCCATGTTGCTGCGGTAGTACAAAGCATTTCTGTAGGCACTTTCAGCTTCAGAAATTTTGCTCTGACTCTTGAGAACATTTCCAAGGTTACCCCATGCTGCCAACAAGAAAAAGAAGTATTCAGGCTGAGCATCAATCCAATTATACATGACATAATATCAGGCCAACAGGAAGTATCACAGGGAAAGAAAACCTCCATAAAACATTTTTAACAGGAAAAATTTATTTCCTTTATACTCTAACATTTCATCAAACCAGGAGATTAAATACAATCATAGCCTAAAATAAATTAAAGTAATTATTATGTCTCAAAGCTGATACACATATATAGTTCATCATAAAGCCAAGAACTATGTTATTTTAAGATCACCTACAAAGACGTCATGCTCTTTCAAATTTCAGTAGGGGTCTTCATGGTCTAAAATTATTGTATAGTTACTGGACCAGAAACTGCAAGAAATCATCTTAAAATAAACAAAGATTTTATTCAAGTACGAAAAACTGATAAGTGGCATAGAAGATCTAGAGATGAAAAGTAAAAAAAAACCCCTAAAGATCAAAGCTTATAAAGAAGCTTAACAGGCAGAAAAACATATCAGTAAAACACGCTTCTCAAAACAGTTTAGTATATACAGTCTGGTCAGATATAATTTTTTCTTTGGGTGGGGGCAGGGTGGGAGGCTGGCCAGTCCAGGGATCCGAACCCTTGACCTTGGTGTTATGAACCACATGCTAACCAGCTGAGCTAACCGGCCAGGTTCTGTTATCCCCTTCCTACTAAGTTCATTTCTGGGAAAATCAGTATCTCTACACATAATTATATTGAAAGTTGTGTATTTTCTATGCACTTCTTATTTTCTCCCCAAATAATCATGATTTTTCAATATTAAAAAGAATGAAAAGCAAAGCATCAGTAATTGCCCACAAAGCATGGCTCACAAACAGACCTAGCTCTCAACTTGGCTGCTTTTCTTGTATTCTTCCCTCTGCACAAAGAGATGGGTTCTGAGTCCTGAAATCAAAGTCTATCCACGCTGACAGGAAGATGGCAATGAAAAAATGCTTATGTGTGCTGAGATATACCTATTTGGGTGATTACTGGCTATACCTGAAGAATGAAAGGGGTTTTGAGGTATCAATTTTTAATGCATAAAAAAGTATAATCTTCCAATCCCAGATTTGCCTGTTTGCCTGTAAGTAATATAACACTCCTGTGCCTCAGTTTACTTATCTGTAAAATAGGGAAATAATCAGTGTTTCATGGGCTTTGTGATGAGGACTAAACGAGTTAACGTATATAAGGTGTTTAAGACAGTGCCTGAAACATGGTAAATATTGCAAATATCACTAATGTTATTGTGGTTGATACTCTTGCAATGTACAATAAATATTGCTATTATCACTAATGCTATTATGGTTGATTATTGCAATTTACAATAGTCAATTGAACGTTGCTTATAAAAATAATATTAAATGTAATGTACTTTATGCACTCATATTATCTATAGAGAAAACTCTTTCCTATTTGAGAAGTCATATACCTTCTTTGCCTCCAACAGAAAACAGAAGATACTGAACTCACAACTAAGTAATGCCTAATAGTGCCACATACCATGCCACACACTTGACATGCATCATCTCACTGAGCTCTCAACACAGTCATATACATAAATATTATGACTATTCCCTTATCCTGTGGATGAGGAAATAAACTCGGAGGCATTAAAGAACTTAACAAGTTAGTACTGAAGTGTTAGAGCAGATATTCCGATGCAAGACTGGCTAATTCCAACTTCTTCCACCTCCCACCTGACATTTTCATACCACGTTTTGACTTCCACTGCAAACTAACATTTATACATTATGAATTATGTTTTGGCATTAGGAGTCCACAGAAAATTGTATCCTTATATTGAAAGATAAACCAGTTTGAAATTCTGTCAAACTGAACTATCAATAACAGAAAACAAAAAATAGAAAAAATAGTAAAATTATACTTATCTTCAAATTGAACATGCATAACACATGTGGGTTATATCTAGTATCCCTCCTACAAATACAGCATGGCTCTATGGGAAGTCCTAACATCCAGGCTATTTTTCAAGTCCCCCATCCTCCATCCCTCCCAAAGTTCTGCTTTAACTGTGGGATTAGTTAATGAAAATATATTCACATCAAAATCACTCCAGAGAAATGTATCCAAATATTAACTTAAGTAACAGAAAACATCATTATAATGCTATCCCATCTAAACCAGTCTTAGAACATAGATGCTGAAACATACATTATAGCAAGGACTTATTTTGTTTGAATGTTTTACATTTATGCAGAGAAACAAATGGACTTTTTTTTGGTACTTGTATCTCAAACAACTAACAAGTGCTTTTCTTGTTAATAGTCAAGAGGCACATAGCTCTATCTAGGATATAAGTTCACTCATTGGGTTGTTCATTTATTCATTCACAGATGCATTAATTCATTAAGCAGGTATTTGTTAAAGGCTCCTATTTTGTGTCAGGAACTTCATTAAGAGTTGGACATTCGGTACTGTCTAAAACAGTGAAGTTCTCACCCATGCGGAGCTTATGTAAAAAGAGGGAGGGGTAGAATGGTGGCCTCAAGATAGAATCCATACTATAAAATCAATGAATTAACTTCAGACAGTGATGAGTACTACAAATAATATAAAAGTAAGGTGACATGGATAGGGTTAATTTAGATAGGGATGTTATAGAAATAGGGAAATAGGTGTGATCTCTAAGAACTAAAGGGTAAGAAGTCAGCCTTGCAAAGACTGGTGATTCCAGCTAAGGGAGGTAGAGTAATGGACCTAAGGCGACATTGAACTTGCTATTTTCCAGGAACAAAATGGCCCATCAGGTGAGTGGCTCCAAAATGAAAGAGAAAGCCAAGACAAAGTCACAGAGACAGGCAGAGGTCTCAACATCTAGGGTCTGATGAGCCACAATAGGAAGTCTGGTGGTTATTTTATTCGCAATGTGTGAAGGAGAATTTTCGGCAGGGGGGTTCTCTGGTATGACTTACATTTTCAAAAGACCACTCTTGCCTCCTCCGTGGAGGAGGTCCTCACTGTAAGGGAACAAAAAGAGCAACAGGGAGACCAGTCAGAATGTAACCACAGTCACCCAGGGGGCCAAGATTAGGAGGGTCTCCAACAGGAGGGATGGTCAGTAAGGGAGGTGGCTACTTCAAAGTGAGAAAACAAATTAGGAAGTAAAAGTCATCAACAAACTTAACTGTGGCAAAGCCACAATGTAAAACTAAGTTTCTTGCTTTTTGTCCAAATGGTAATCTCTCACATCCTTATGAGTACTTCATTGTCCTAGGTGCCTGGGAAAAGGAAAAAAAAAAAAAAAAATCCCCAATTGAGCACATATTTTAGAAACAATCTTAATTGTTTATGGATGAGAAAAAGAGAGAAAGAAAGAGAAGGGGGAGGGAGGGAGAGAAGAAAGACAGCCCTTGATGTCCGTAACTAATCTGACATTCACTGCCAGGCCATTTTGATCTCCCCTTCTACATACACAATCACAGAGAACACCAGCTTCAGACAAGGTTACTCAGACCATGATAAAATGAAACAATGAAAGATCCTAAACACAAAAAAGGAAATAATCACTGTATAACCCACAAAATACCAAACATACTCCTCTCTTGCTAAATAAATGACTCCTTGATCCAATCATAGAATGGTTCCAGCATCCAATTTCAAGGAAACACCTGCTTCCCTTAAACCCTCTCCCAAATCACTCCAAGTAAAAATCCTGTAATTGTACATATAAGATAACCCAGAGTTCACCATGATGTAGTGTTCTCTTTTCAGTGGAAGGAGTAATTAAGCCGACTTCTTTTACTCCAGGTATATCCCTGGTGGTCTTTTGCTAAATGACACTGACATAAACAATTTCACCATACTCAAATATGAAAACAATTCCTGTTCAAAATCCCTTCTTCCTTAAATAATTGTTCCTCAATGCTGTGTTTATCAATACAGATTCTAGGTTTTGGAAGAGCTGCCAAAGTGAAAACTAAAATCGTCACACACTTTTTTTCTGGTATGAAAATTGCCATCACCATTTCCATATTTTCAAATATAAATGGGATAGATTTTTGCGTCAATGCAACCGATAAAGGCTAACATGAAGTAGAGATCACTTACAAAAATATAAAACTGTCCTACAGAATATGACCTACAATAAAACTCTACTAATGGTCAAATAAACAGCAATTCTTTTCATAAAAGCTGTTTGTGTTCCATGGTTCAATGATAAAATGAAAAGTGAAAAAAAAAATCATAATTGAATTTAGAAGCCATTTAAAATCCAGCTAATGTAGAAATACATTAAAGTAATATACAAAAAGTGTATCTTAAAAGGGCTAATGTGATTATTTCAGTTTCATATAATTAACCTACAGAATTAATCAGTGTAGCTAGTTCTGTGGTTAATTCTTTTTTCTATTACTTTAAAACTCTGAGAAACCTCCATACTGTTTTCCATACTGGTTGTACTAATTTACAGTCCCACCAACAGCATGAGAGAGTTCCCCTTTCTCCACATTCTCACCAGCATTTGTTATTCTCCATCTTTTTGATTATAGCCAGTCTAACTGGGGTGAGGTGATATCTTAATGTGGTTTTAATTTGCATCTCCCTGATGATTAGTGATACTGAGCATTTTTTTAAGTGACTGTTGGCCATTTTTGTTTTCCTTTAAAAAATATCTGTTCAGATCCTTTGCCCATTTTTTAACTGTTTTTTTTTTTTTTTTTTTTTTTTTTACTGTGTCATTGCTTGAGTTCCTTGTATATTATGAATATTAACCTCTTGTTGGAAGTATTGTTTGGAAATATTTTCTCCCATTCTGTAGGTTGTCGTTTCACTCTGATTGTTTCCTTCACTGTGCAGAAGCTTTTTAGTTTGATATAATCCCATTTATTTGTTTTTGTTGTTGTTACTTGTTTCTCAAACTACAGATAGATCTACCACATGATCCAGCAATCCCACTTCCAGGTATATACCCAAAGGAATGGAAATCATCATGTCAAAGGGATACCTGCACTCCCATATTCATTACA